CAGCAAATAGCATGCACCATGGCACATCTCCTTGAATATGATAAGTTAGTGCATCCATCACCAGGGCAAATAGGAAAAGGGCTGAACGCAGACCCTTGGTGTAACCCCGTAACAACAGGAAAATGCTCGGAGTCGCCTCCTACTGTCCTAACCCGAGTCTTAGCTCCATCATATATGTCTTTAATCACCCTAATGTAGGCTGCCGGGACCCTNACCTCTAGGCATCTCCATAAGACCTCCCTAGGAACCCTGTCGTACGCTTTCTCTAGATCAATAAACACCATGTGGAGATCCTTCTTCTTATCCCTGTATTGTTCCACCATCCTCCTCATAAGGTGGATAGCTTCTGTGGTAGATCGCCCCGGCATGAACCCAAACTGGTTGTCTGAAATAGACACCATCTTTCGCACTCTCATTTCTATCACTCTCTCCCAGACTTTCATGGTATGACTCAGTAATTTGATACCCCTGTAGTTGTTACAGCTTTGGATATCGCCTTTGTTTTTATACAACGGAACCATTGTACTCCACCTCCACTCTTCAGGCATCTTATTAGTTTTGAATATAACATTAAACAACTCAGTAAGCCATTCCAAGCTTGCTCTACCCAAACACCTCCAAAGTTCAACATGAATTTCGTCTGGCCCGGTCGCTTTGCCCCTTCTCATCTTACGCATTGCCTCCATGACCTCATCGACCTCAATGTCCCTACAATAACTTAATTCATGGGGACTGTCGGCATTCCTCAGTTCACCTAGTACAATATCTTGATCCCCTTCTTCATTTAGAAGTTTATGAAAGTAGTTCTGCCATCTCTTCTTAATCTGGTCATCCCCCATCAAAACTTTGCCGTCATCATCTCTTATGCACCTCACTTGGTCCAGATCCTGAGCCGTCCTCTCTCTCACCTTAGCGATTCGTAATAACTTCTTCTCCCCGCCTTTGTTCCCTAGTTCCTCATATAGACGAGCAAAAGCTGCCGTCTTAGCCTCCGTTACTGCCATCTTCGCCTCCTTCCTAGCTACCTTATACCTCTCATTGTTCGCTCTCTTCTCCTCCTCACCAGTGCTCCCTATTAACCGTAGGTAAGCCGCCTTCTTTGCTTTCACTTTACCTTAGACAACTGCATTCCACCACCAGTCTCCTTTGTGGCCACCGGTGCGGCCCGAAGATATCCCTAACACCTCTATCGCCGCCTTCCTTATACAGTTCGTCGTCGTCGACCACATAGTGTTTGCGTCCCCACTGCTTCTCCAAGCTCCCATTGCCGATAACCTTCCTTCCAAATCCTGAGCTTTATCCTTAGTCAAGGCGCCCCACCTAATCCTCGGGCGTCCTCTTACTGACCTCTTCTTCCTCTTTATCATGATACCAATGTCCATCACCAAAAGCCTATGTTGCGTTGCAAGGGTCTCTCCTGGGATAACTTTGCAATCCTCGCACAACCTTCTGTCACATCTCCTGAGGAGGAGATAGTCAATCTGAGTCTTCTCCACCGAACTTTGGTAAGTAACCAGGTGCTCCTCCCGCTTCGGAAAACACGAGTTCGCAATCACTAGATCGAATGCCTTGGCAAAGTCCAACAGCGAAGTGCCCCCTTCGTTCCGCTCCCTGAAACCAAAGCCGCCATGCACCTCAGTATAACCACCTGCCGAAGACCCAGTATGACCATTGAAATCTCCTCCTATAAATAACCTCTCAGAAGGTGGAATACTACGAACGACGTCATCCAACCCCTCCCAAAAGTGCCTTTTAATCTCCTCATCCAAGATCGCTTGCGGCGCGTACGCACTAATGACATTTAAAATACACTTACCCACCACCAATTTAATAGTCATTAGTCTATCATTCACCCGCCTAACCTCTACCACCGACTCTCTAAGATGGCTATCCACCAGGATACCCACTCCATTCTTACCTCTCTGGACTCCAGAGTACCACAACTTACACCCATTCGCGTTTTTCGCCCTCAATCCAACCCACCTAGTCTCCTGAACACATGCTATATTAATCTTCCTCTTCTGAAAGATCTTTGCCAACTCTATAGACTTACTCGTTAGTGACCCTATGTTCCATGACCCGATTTTCAACCTATAGGCTCCCTTACCCCCTATACCTCCCCTACTTCCCGTCCCACCCCCTGACCCCGGCCCACACTCTGCCCTACCCGAGGACATGCCCTTAATCTATCATCCCAGACTGCATCCACTACACATACGACAATCTAAAGAAGACTCGCTAGTGTACAACGGACAACGAATCAAACTAGAAGGAAACAAGTGACTACTAGTACACTAGTAGAAAGATTTGACTGAACTATTGTGAACTAAAGTAACACCAATTTAGATAACAACAAAAGAGAACGGGAGGTACCAACTCCCAAGAACCAAACCTGTGTTGATTTGCTGTACTCGATGTAGTTGTACGCTCACACACCGCTTCCCACCACCCTTTGCTGAAGCCCGTCCAGGTTACTCCCCTTTGCTAGTGCTCCTGCGCCCAACTTGTCTCCAACACTTTGAGAATTTCCCTTGTCCCCAACTTGTCTCCAACACTTTGAGAATTTCCCTTGTCCCCAACTTGTCTCCAACACTTTGAGAATTTCCCTTGTCCCCAACTTGATGTTCATTTATGTTATTGTCCAAAATTACATCCGCCTTTGTGTGAGCCTTCAACAATTTGGACTTCATTCCACTGATTTCGTGAAGCCACTTTTACGAAGGGAACAAATCAGCCAAGTCAAATCCTCCCGACAACGAAACTACCTCCTTCACCAACATTACTAATGTATCTTGATCATGAACAAGTTTTCCAAATGTAGACCTACAAGTTACAGAACTTGTAAACCAAAAAATTTTGTTTGATAGGTGTTGGGATATATATTATTAACCATGGATTGGTTTAGATATAGTATTTATTATGATATAATTGTTCATTCAATTTTAATAAAGTTTTAAATAGATCATATATTAGTCCGTGTCATTTGCTGATATAGTAGATGATTTAGTGTATAGAGTTTAGCTTATACACGAAAGATTAAATCATTGGTTCTTATAAGTATAAAGTTTGAATTCACAATCTAATGATGGAATTGGACAAACCATCAGGGATGATTGTAGCGCAAGGTTAAATATAAATTATCTTGATTATGGGAATGGTTTAATTCCAACTTCTTGTGCTAGTACATTTTGTATGTATTGAGCGGACCAAGTTGAGATAAGTATTTTATACTGACTTAATAAAATAAACTCTCTAGCCATTAAATGTACTTATACTCTTAATCTTGACATAATTATTCTTAGATGTGTACATTATTATTATTTTGATTTATTAAAGGCGAGATTCTTTCGTGGGTCAATATGCCAAGTAAATTGGATAAAAATAATGTACATTGGCGAAGTAATAGTTAGTTGATGGAATCCATGTCTCGGTTTAGAGATTGATGATACACCTTTATGAAAGCTTATAAGTTTTCATGTGTAAACACGGTCGGTGGATTTTGTATCCGACACATGAAATAAGTTAAGCAAAAGTCTAAAGGAAATAATCAATAAATTAAATCGTTAGTAATTTAATTTAATTGATTAGTATCTGAATCTTAACATGGAGAGTTAAATATGATTTAATGGATGAATTTCGAAATTGAATAAGGAGTGCAATTACTGATTTTTAGTGGAATAATTCGTAATTAATTATGGTGGATATTAATTTCAAAAATTATAAATTAATTCCATAATTGGAAGCCTTGTTAATTAAATTCCGCGGTCCCTGATGTGCCTAAATAATAGGAAATAAAGGAATCATTTTTCTGGTGGAAAAGAAAACCTAACAGGTTTTGGAAAAGAATTTTAACCCAAAAAGCTTGTGATATAAATAAATAAGGTTTTCCTCTTAGAAAAGAAAGAGAAGAGGTGGCCGAAATTTCAGACCTTTTCCTAGAAATTTTGCCACACGAAAGTGCTATTTTCAGGTATTATTTGGGTAACACAGTAGAAGACCGTGGAACGTTTAAAGATCACGATTGTGCGGGTGATGGAGATTCCATTGAGAAGTTATGGAACTGAAGGTGTTTGACGAAAAGATGTCAAAACCTTTTTGATTAAACAATTAATAATAATGATGAGGTCAATCTTAGTTAAGCACAATAAAATCTAGATGAAATGATTGAATGAGTACGCAAGATGAACGATATAACAAGTCTATTCGAAGCAAATAAATGCTCATAAATGCTAAGAGTTAAATGCACAAGTAGAACCGTCGCAAACGTAATCGGTGTAAGGGAGAATAAGTATGGGATGATTGAGGAATCTTAGGATTTTCTCTGATGAACAAGACTGTTTTTGCATTCAATCTCAGATGATTCTTTTACAAAGTGTTCTTTTATCTTTTTTCTCCGTTCCTTTTCTTCTTTACTCCCCTTTCCTATTTATAAGGGACAATCTCCCAAAAAACCCTAAAAAGTACAGTATGGAGAATATTCGAAAAGCATATTCCTACTGTCTCTCACTAAATGTACATTGTCGTGGACGTCATGCATCTACTGACTGCCCAAAGTCGTTACCTTTCACCACGACGACCATCGGGCGGTGCATCATGATAACCTCATTCCTCATCCTACTCGGTAATGGTCGTGGTAGCCAAATTTGGACCCATACAGTTAGTCCCTCCTCTTGTTGAGGTCGTGGCCTTGTACGTCCTTGATAAGCGGACGCCGCCCATTTTTGTGGAGAAATTTGGCGGTTTGATTGTAACGGTTTGATCAATAACGAAAGAGCGACGCAATCTACAGTATTCCGGATAGCGTAGCATATCGGGAAATGACGTCACTCTCACGTGCGTCATCATTGCGCATCTTCCCGAGGCAGAGACCAACTGGCTTGCTGCTTCGATTTTGGTGCCACTGGCAGCCTTTCGCTTCGCTTCTGGCGCTATCCAAACCTTATAAATAGATGAAGGTTTGGTTCTTTCAAGAACTTTCGATCATTTTTTTCTAGTGTATGTGTTATCTTCTTTGGCCATTTCTTCTCGTATCTTCAGCTCTACTTTCGTAATTTTTCTCTTCACCTTCTTCCGTTCATCGTTCTTTGTTTTATCAATATATCCTCTGCCATCGAGATGCCTAGAACACATCGTTCCCACGAGGAGATTTCTGACACCACCCCGCTTTCCATAGCACCTCCACCTGGTAGTGAGGATGTGGCAGTAGAGGAAGAGGACAGCCTTCACACGTGCAGGAGATACTACCGAGAAACCCCATGTCTCGAATTGATTTCCTTACAGAGTTTATTCCTTCTCCTGTTCTGGTGATTTCTGAGACTGAGCAGGCTCACATAGATGACCTTCAATCTACGTATAACATTCCCTCTCATGTTGAGATGGTTTCGGCCGAGAGGGACTTCGTAGATGTCCACAGACCGGGATATTGCGCCTTTTACATATAACCCTTTGTTATTGGCCACTCTTTTCCCTCTTCTTCCATTAGCGGAAGAATTCTGTCGGTTTTATGAGGTCTTCCCGGCGCAACTTTCTCCATACACGTACAAGATATTCTTGGTACTGACGAAGTACGCGGAGTTGGCGGGGTGTGAAGTTGGCCTCCACCACCTTCTACATTTGTTTTCCCCTAGTTTTCATAGGAGAACTATGGTACATTTGAGGCACCGTGGGACCAGGGGATTGGTGGTCGGAATGGATGACCGGGCAAGCCGCAGATTTTGGCATAAATACTTCTTTGTTAGAACCGAGCATCTAGTGTCGGACCCTGCTGGATTCCCAGAACGGTGGAATTATCACGGTGTCTATGGCCGGCCCAGTGGAGGGCTTGTCACTATGACTTCCGGAGACGACTCGGGGGTGGCGTTCTTCGCTATCATATTCTTTCCCCCGGCTGCAGAGGAACACCTTCTTTCTGGTTGCTTGTTCTCCGGGCGGGGACTTCGTGAAGAAACACTTGTACCCGAAGTAGGCCCAAAGACACATGTTCGAGTTAGCGCCTCCTGAAGAAGCCTCACCGCATCAGTAGGATCAACCAAAACGTCCTCCTCAAGGACGAAAACCGAGCTTGCGGGTAGACCTGATTTCAAAAAAAAAAAGGGAAAAAGGATCAATCAATTTCCTCACGTAAAAAAGTTGAAACGAGATGAGTCTAATTTACCATGATTTTTGGCCTTCCACCCGTATTTGAGGACCAGTTCTTTCCACTTGCGGGTTTCGAGCGTAGTGACGTCCAAAATTTTCTGGACCCACTGGTCCAAGCCTTCAACCCTAGGTGGAACCCATCGAGTTGCTGAAACAGCCATTGTCGGAATGATATCATTGGTGGAAACTGCAACGAACCGTTCCATCTACCCACGGTCGTTATCATCATCCATGCTAGATAATAGATCATGGTGGCCGTGTTTGCTGAAGTTTATCATTCCCCCGCGAAAGACTTTGGGGGAATAGAGATTCATCACATGAGCTAAGGATAACTCTTGTCCCGTCTCTTGGCACAAACGCCGAAGACAAGTAATAGTCCTCCACACAGAAGGACTTGCTTGTGTCAAACATACTTGGTAATGGAGGCAGAACTCCGCAATAATGGAGTCAAGCTCTCCACTCAAAGAAAACTCTCTCAAAGTAAAGGGATACGTGTAAAAGTATGTAAAACCCTCCTTGTGTAAGGTTACTCGCTCTGTTAGATCAGGAGCAATAATATCCAAATCTTGGCAGCGACAATCTTCCTTCCCAACAGAAATACTGGAAGGAAGGATAGAAGAAGGGTATCTTCCAATGGCCCACGTGTCGTGCGAGGGTTAGCAGAAGGAAACTTCTCTTTGAAATCTTTAAAGGTGACTAGGATCTTCGGAACAATGGTGAATATCGTAGGAGGGGTGGCATCATCAGCTTTGCCTTTATTCTTTGAAGATAGGTTTTCTTGAAGAGGAGGCCATTTTTTATCAAGAGGAAGAGTTTCCCTTTACTCAAAGAAGGAAGCTAAAGAATGGTTAAAGTCGGAAGATGAGTTGAGTAAAGAGAGTCTTAGAAAATTTAGAGTGTTATAAAGTATAATGAAGGAAGGTGATGCGTATAAGTGAAGGTATATGCGGCTAAATTCATGCCCATTATTACCTCGATAATTGGCAAAAGTTATGCTGAATTGTGGGATGACGCGTGTTTAGGGCATTAAATGCGGAGAGATGTGCATCTAATCAACCGTCAGAAGATTTTCAGAAGGAATTATAGTAATTCCAGCCAAAAAGAGTGTTTCTAGCAACTTCCTGGTGCCACAAAGTTATGTCACCAGAAAGCGGGGGGACTATCTGTATAGGGTAAAATATGCTATGTTAAGTAATTGCATAAAAGAGTGACACGTGGCATTGATGGCAGAGGATAGCTAAGACCGAAGACAACTGTTCTGTTTGCTACCGAAGAAAATGATGCTCATAAAGATATAATAAATGTCTGCCACCAGGTAGCATTTAATAGAGAATATTCTACATCAATCAGTACACTGCCCATTACAATGAATTTAGCATTTATGCTCACTGTTACACCTTCTTCAATGGCCATCATAATTGACATTAAAGAAGGGAATGATCGTACGACCTTGTTTCCTAGGTGCAACTATAAATAATGAGCTATGTTGTCATTGTAAAACAGACGAATTTTCTGGCAAACTTGTGCTATAATCGATTCAAAGCTTTATACAATTTTATCTTCTTAGTTCTTGATTTCATTGTTGTTGTGCACGGAAGCCCTGCTCCCGGAATTACTGTTTTTGCTATTTTGTCTTCTTTTCAAGGCTAAGTATTGTGTATTTCTTTAATTATTTTATTATTTTA